TGGTGGGAAAGAAAATATGCCCTTTCGCTACTGTGTGGCAGCTTTTGTTTTGTGGAAGAGAAGTAGGTGGCTCAAGGCACTCTTTTGTCTTTAAGATAATGTAATGAAAGAAGAAAATGACAAGCTGTGAATCTTGCAAACCGTGACCTTGATTGCCACAATAGCGCAAAGACAGCAGACCCTTCAGATGTCTGGAAGATAGAACAGAAAACAAACATTTTGAGTCATCAGAGTTGTTAAACAGTTCCCAGGAGACTGTTCAGAGTAGCTGAGCGTCTGCTGCCAAACCTAGACTTCAGCACTAAAAGCATTTTAGGCTTATGTTAATCTTGCGTGCTCAAGCAGAGGGAGCCTAGGCACTAGCAAATGTTAATAGCCTCAGGGGTTTTGATCATCCTGGATTTTCTACTGGTCACTGGGACAGCAGCATAAAGGAAGCTTAGTGGCAGTAAGGAGAGCCGTTGGTTTATAGTTTTATGAGTGCATTAGTGCTCTTATATGTTAAGAGTCGGAGATCTCAGGGATGCCTGTTTTTGACCACCTCTCTGTATTTTAGGCATACAAACCTTAGGAGTGCAATTAGAGGGGGCGGGGGGGGGAAGTCTGTGTTACTAATTTCCCTAGAGGACAAAGTACCTATGAAAATGGTTATTTTTGATAAATACCTAGTACAGGTAAGTTAATGAAATAACAGAAAAGGTTTTTGCTCAGCTTAGCTTCTTGCAGTTTATCTGTTGCACTTGGTTTCTGTTTTCGTAGCAGGTTAGGTGGAAGAAAATACTTTTGCTTTCCTGTGTTATTGGTACAGCCCCGATATGTTTTTACTTTGTAGTAAGTAGTGTTACCATGAAGTTGTATGACTCTGAAGGCAACTTCATATCTTTCTTAGTAAAGAAGTTCCTCTGGAGTGCTGTGTCCAGTTTTGGGTTCCCATTGCAAAGAAGATGTAGATGCACTGGGGTGTGTCCAGAGAAGGTGGTGTGTGGGAGTACGTGATGATGAGTGAGGAGGAGCTGGGAGAACAAAACTTGTTTTGTTGTAGGGAAGGTGGAGGGGAGGAATCTTGTTGCTGTCTTCAGGCACTGGGGGCGGTTCAGAGAGGCCAGAGCAATTCTTGGAGGTGCACAGGGACAGGACAAGAGGCAATGGGACCAAGCTTCAGCAAGGCAAATTCTGCTTAGATACCAGGAAAATGAAAGGGAAGAACCAACTGACATCATATGAGCATCTCTGTGGCTGGAGGTATTCCTTGGGCAATGTGCTGAGCAGCTGTCTTTTAAGCTGGCCCTGTGCTGAGCTGGCGATTGGACCAGGTATCTCAACAGGTTCCTTTGAATCTCTATTATGCTGTGATTTTTATTCAACTGAGCCAGTCCCAGGTGAGCTATGCTGGTACAGCTTCAGTATAGACAGGCCCTGATGTGGATGAATTCTGTTTGTTTGGACAGTACATGTTTATATGTAAAGAATATTTGACATGCCAGCTGGTAAAGACCAAACAGTAAAGCGTGGCAATGTGTGGTGAAAATTGCTCTGTTTTAGCCACATGCAGATTTAGCTTTTACACTTATTTATGAAGGATACTGTTTTGTAAGGCAGGATATAGAGCAAGATGGTAATGATTGTTCTAACTTTTATTGTGTTGGCCTGTGGTAACTGGCCATCTAACTTCTGTACATCTGGTATAGATGATGTATTAACTTAAAATTCCATTGGTTAAAAAGCAAATGGTTATTCATTCTGGACTTCTCATTATATTTTTAGATTTTGAAGAATTTTACATCTGTTCATCTCTCTTATGTGGAATTGAAGCAAATGGGCCAGCAGCAGATTGGAAGTTATCCCGTTCACTTTCATCTTTGTGGGGATGTGGATGAAAAAGGAGGTTATAGTTTTAAGACTTACCTGGAAGGTCTTTCCATTCATCACTGTTTCTCCAGATGTGTGACTGTTCATGCAACTAATGGCTTGCTGGTAGGTGCAAGGAGAGTAAAACATACTGTGTTGAAATGAATGTTATAAAGAGCAGTTAGAGCAAAAATAGTCCTCTCCCTTCTTCAAGTTTAATGCTCAGCAATGTTGGGTTTTTTTATTGCAATGAATAAATAACAAGTGCAAACAGTAACTTATTTTTAACAGATCTCACCATTCTGTTTTTTCAGATTCTTCCAGGCAGCTAAGCTCTCCAGACATAGTAGTGTGTTTGTGAGGGATAAATAACTGTATGCTTGAATCACTGAACTGCTGATACTGAAGCTTCACTCTGCAGCTGTGCCAAGATAATAAAACTAAATGGTACTTGTCAAATAAATCTCAGTAAATGCTATTGCTACTGACATAATGAACTTGTATTTCTGCAGATAAAGGACACCATTGGCTATGACACACTAGGTCACTGTTTCTTCACAGAAGATGGCATTGAGCAGAGGAATACTTTGTTTCACAACCTTGGGCTAGTCACGAAACCAGGCACTCTTCTTCCTACAGATAGAAACAGCAGCATGTGTGTTGGTATTAGGGATAAAGTGTATGGAAATTATGTCCCAGTGCCAGCCACAGACTGCATGTGAGTATTTCATGGTGAAAAAGTAAAACCAAACCAGTTGCAGTGGTTAAACTGCTGATGATCTCTTGCCAATATGCAGATGGGAACGTTTTTATGTATAATTTAAGGAATGCAGATACCTTAAATGCAGTTCACAAACTAGTGGAATTTAGGGGGGGGGGGGGGGGGGGGGGGTTTAGTGTTTAGTCTTTTATTAAAGAGAAAAAATAAGTTGTTTTGTACGAAGATTGTTGTTTCTTGTGATACTTGTTCAATAGACTTTTAAGGCCATGTGTGTACTTCTCTGTAAAGGCATGCACATTCTTAAGTTGTTACTGCTAGTTTTTCTGCATACTACTAATCTCTTGTAGAAGCTTATTAAAATAGTTTATCATTGTACAGAGTATCTGAACAACATTAAATAAAATACTGTGCATTGAACTAAAAAAAGAAGCATTTTTGACTTCTAAATGTGGGGAGCATTGTGATTTTTATTTCATATGTCAAGTAGTGACTTCAGACATCAGTTTAGTTTTTTCTGATGTGCTTGTTATGAAGGGGAGATATTTCTGTAGGAGCTAGAACTTTTCCATAATAACTTCTTTCTGAATAATGTTTCAGGGCAGTTTCGACATTCTGGATTTCTCATCCCAACAATCATCTTATAAATAATGCAGCAGCAGGTTCACAGGTGAGGCGTATGGATGTAATTGAACACAAACTACTCATGTCACTGGTATTTGTAAAACCTGTGACATTTACACTGCCAAAAATACATACATTTTTATTTTTTATATATGAATATGTTCTTTTTATGTTTGGCAGCATATTGGCATTACGAGTGCGGGGTTTGTCTAGGTGTGTGTTTAAGAGATGCCAAAAATCTTTCTTCTGGCTGGAACAGAGGAGATCTCTTCCTCTTTGTAATTAATAGACCTGACAATAGTGTTAATGTGTGTATGTAGAAATAAATCCTTTTATTTCCAAAGAACTACTGCATTTCTGCATAGAAGCATAAGGCTTCTGTATTTTCTGTAGGTTGTCATGAGTTTACTGTGTGACTGCTCTCCAAGATTTGTCTTCATAGCTGTAGTCATTGGAATGAAAAATGACTACAAAATATGTTCATTGTGTAAGAAACAGCTAAAACACTTTTATTGTCAGTAGTTAGTCATTTGTTCCCCATCAGTGACTGCTGATATGTTTTTACTTGTTGTGAACCTTGTATTAGTGCAAATCTCATCACAGCTGCTTGCGAAGTAAAGGTGAACTACTCAGTACGTATTGTGGAGGAGGGGCCTGCAGTCTGTTCTACTTCTGCATTGGATGAAAGGCTGAGATGTGCATGGTTTTGAGTGGATTTTTCTGAAGAGATCACTGGGAATGGAAAACAGGAAAGATTTTTGTTGGTTGTTGTTGTTGCAAAGGCTCCAGTGCTGGAAGTAGAACATGACTGTGTGTCAGTGTATTCTTAGGCACAGAATACATATGAAACTGTTATTAATGGAACAAGATTAAAAATATTTAAATGAATTAAAATATCTAGAGCATAAAAAAAATTTAGAAAATTTTGTTCTGCTTTTTGTGTGGTCTGGCTATTTTTGGACAAACTTTTCTAGTTGACTGTCTACCACTAGGAAGGATCGGGACACACTTATCAAATCAAACCAATTCTTCTCTTCCCAGCGCAGTGTCTTTCCATTTTGCCTGCTTTATGTAATATTCCTTTACCTTGTTTTAGCATTGCAGGCTAAGTTAGAGGAAACAGCTTCCTTGGTCTGGTGCTTAAAACCTGCAAGGTCTTTTTCTGCCTCTGTAGTGTATCCCAGAAAATGTCACTTCCTTTTGTTACCAGAATGCGCATAGTCAGAGCAAGCATTTGTGTATGTTACGAAGTTTTGCCACCCTGATACACCTCCATTGCATGGACGTTAACACATTAGTGTAAAGGGACTACAGCTTATTATGTTTCAGAAGGAGAATACTTCAACTGTGTTGATAACAAACTGCACTGTAGAGCTTTTGCTGGTATAAACTATAACAATTCACAAGCAAATAAAATAATTCCATTGCACCTCCTCAGCTCCTTCATTACACAATGAAGCCTATTGTAGGGGTGTATCAGCAATAGATCGTTTTTTTGTTTGAGCTTTATATGGGGGAGGAGGGGGAACCTTTTTCATTTTTCTGAATGCTTGCAAATGCTTAAGGAGAGCTTTTAAGTTTATTAAACTTTTTTCCAAGCATCAGGATGTGTTTTGGATAAAAATTACTTTAGTCTGCCAAGCACAGAGCTGTATTTAATTATATGTGAAGTAAGATTTTGGTATTGTTATTAATGGAACATCCACATTTGCTTTGGAAATGTTAATCACCAGAAATGTCAAAATGTGTCATCATTATGGATGGGAATATGTTACTGAGAGCCAGAATTTCCAGGACTGTTTGGAAAATGAGTATATTCTCAGAGTGAAATGCGTGAAATCTCTTAAGCCAGAGTGAATTGGCTTTATCCACGTTTCTTGAACAGGAGGATGATGACTATTTTTCATGAGATGGAGCACTCAGTATGCAGTGTTTCTTTAGCTACTGTTTAACCCTTTAATGCAATGATTTTTTTATTTTATAAGATCACAGAGTATGTGGTCAGGCAAAATTTTTCATGTTTGTAGGTATCTGCTATGCAGGTGCTATCACGATGCCACCTCTTGTGAACCCAGATGTGGTTGAAAGGGGAACTTTTATGGGTCTCATTTCACAGATAAATCCAGCTTCTTTAAGAGCAGGGATGTTGAAGTGGAGAAAATGAACAGATGCTGAAATTATTACTGCATGTTATTGGCACAGTGCTCTGAACTGGCCAGACTTCTTGATGTGCTTTTTTTCCCTTCTTCTGAAAGCTCTTGTGGGTTTTTTGGCTGTGTCATTAAATTCTGATGTGAGCAGAGATGACCAAACCTTAGTCAGACTGTAACAGTAAGGAGGAGGAGAGGAGGGGCTTTGAGTATTTTACTGTAAATGGTATGATTTACTAGTAAACAAAGGAAAATCAAGTGTGTGTGATGAAATATAACTGAAATGCAAAAATTACATTAACTCTGGCACTTTTCTGGTTTGACATATTAGAGGATCTTATATGTGTGATGGCTTCACTGAGAAGCAAAACACTTTCTAGTGCATGTTATTCACTAGAATATAGCCTTATTTGGGCAGTTTGGAGACTTTGTTTTGAAAAATGTATTCCGTTATGCACAGTTGGTTTGGGCTATGTTCTTGTTCACTTCCTTACTTAAAATATCCAAGTTCAACTTAGCATACACTTAATTTGTGATTAAATACATCAGCACTGATAGTAGTATCAGATTCACTTATAAGTAGTGTCATTCTCTCCTTACTTGCAGGATGCTGGAATATGGTATTTGTTCCACAGGGTTGCTACAGGAGATTCTCATAGTTTAGCCATTGAAACCAAGTCAGAGCTTACACCCCTAGGAATCTTCTATAACAACAGGGTTCACTCTAATTTTAAGGTAATGTATTATCTCATTAATAAAAATTTGAAGTTCTTTATTTGTAACTACTCTATATTAGGACTTGTCTGTTTACATTTTAAGCTGGTTAGGTAATGGATTCATGCTGTGTTTGAACTGCATGATTCTATCTAGGTATTGTAGAACGGCATATAATCAGCATGTTGCTTGCCACATTTCGCATATTCACTGTGTTTAATATCCTTGTAAGGCACAAACAACAAAAATCAGCTAATACTTCTCATGAAATACACTTTCTCAGAAGTAGCGTTTCAGATGCTACTCTCTTACTGATGGCATTGTTTTCTACTCTGAAGAAAGCTGACCATGAAAGCATCAAAGTTTACTACAGTTGTGATTCGTCTAATAGCTTCCTGGAATAGCTGTGACTTGTTTTCCTGAGTCTCTAATGTACAGTAACTCAGGTGCTTGCACATGGTGGCACAGTCTCTGACTAGAGATTAAGCTTCCAGGTTGCCTTCAGGAGCCCAGCCACTGGCCACAGTTTTTTTTCTCAGAGGGTTCTCAGCCTAGATACAGGCATTCAGTATCGTTTTATTAATGTGACTTTAGGATCTTCGACATTCAGCTAAGTGAAGTTAAAGTCCTTAAATTAATGATTTCATTTGGAATCTAGCTGCTCTGTGTGTGTGTATGTATACATATAAAAATATAATAACATTTACAAAGCCACCTAGCTTTAAATATTTATTTGTGTTTGAAGTTTACCTAATAAAGTTCAGGATCACTATTGGATTTTTTTATTAAGTTAAACTGATGGTACTTGACAGTTGGGTGTCTGGGATACCAAGAAGTGATGCACTGTTTTATAGTAGTTGTGTTAACAGTGTGTTTGGGACTGCAGGGCATTTGTTCAGATTGGAATTAAAACACACTGAATACAAAAGTGCATTGTAAAGAAAAAAAGTTTCAGCTGTATGGCTCATATTATCTTTATACAAGGGTAGCAGTTTGTGTGCTAAAATTCCATGTTAAAAGAGCAACCTTCACTAGCAGGTCTGACGATCTTGCGCAGGAGCACTCAGTTGTAATCATAATTTGCATCAGAGGTGAAAGTAGCTGCAGGTATTTGTGTATGTAATTTAGGTTAAATAACACAAATGCTTCCTTGTGCTTCTGTTTTCTCAAGTAGATTATTTCATACTGGATTATTGAGTTTCAAATTGATGATTGCTTGGGCAAAAATCAGCTTCAGTGGTGAAGGTAGTTTAGTTTTATAGTGAAGCATTTTTCACAGTGGTATTTTTTTTTTTCCATTTGTGAGAATATTTTGAATTCACCACAAGATTGGCTTCCAGATTTTCCAGAACAGCATCTAGAAATAAGTGTAAAACCTCAAATACTTAGATGTCATGAAAGAAATCTGAAATGAACTTTAATGATTTTCCATTACTTTTTTTTTAATCCCGGGCAATTCTTTCCTTCTGCCCAAATTCAGCATAGACAGATGCTGTTTTTTACTTAGACAATATGTCAATTAAGGCCAAACTGAAAGATCTAAGAGTTTCTAATACATGTATTGACTGCAATGTAAAGTTTAAATTTTAGAAATGTAATGTTTACTCTATCTTTAGTTTTCGATAGTATGAATTTTCTTTCCTTGCTTGTTTCAGGCTGGTTTGTTCATTGATAAGGGTGTTAAAACAACTAATGCTAGCGTTGATGATCCCAGAGAATATCTTTGTTTGGACAACAATGCAAGGTAAAGGATATTGTCTTTCAAGTGAGTGAAAAATGGCAAAGTTCTGAGATTGCTCTTACATTCACTTGAGGAAAAACATTTTTAAAACAATATAATTATTTATAAATACTAACCGAACAATATGTTCATATCTATTCTTTTCCCTCGTTTGTTCATCTGTTTTGGGAAAAACAGAGCATGGTGTGCCTTAAAGGAGTTGGCTGTTTCTTCTGAGCCCTTGCTCAGGGTAGTTTTCAGCTTCTTAGAAGACATCATTTTAAACACGCTTTACTGTCATGCTTAAAGTATTTTCTGGAATTGCTGCTAAAAGTAAAGTCTTAGTTTAAAATCTGCTCTTCTGATTTATGACTCAGTTTTAAATAATTGTTAGAAAAAGGCTTAACAGAGCCAAGTAACACATCCACTTGCCTTTCCTACTGCTGAATGCTTCCTGCCATACCTTCTAGACTTGGAGATCATAGCTCAGTGGTACAGTTCTATTGAAGACTATTTGCAGTGATAGTACAATCAACCACATTTTCTTTAGTTTACAAAGTGAGAGAAAATAATGGAGAGTATAGGAGAATTCCAGGTTATACTGTGCCTGGTTAGTCTTGTCCTGAACTTCAAAATAAAATAGCCTGGTATAGTGTTCAAATTACAATATTGGATAACTGTATCCGTCAACATTTTATTGTGATAACTAAGCATTAAGACTGAAAATATAGTTAGTAAGATTATCTTTATATCTGATTGACCTGTGTTTAGGATGAGGATAGTTAAGTGATAGTTGCAGAGAGGAAAGTTCCCAATTTTGGTGATACTTGATACATCATGATTTGGAAGTGAACTCTCTAGTTTAAAGTTTTGACAGAAAACCCATATGACCCTTGTGGATTACCTCAGTCATCAGTCAAGAGGAACATATGAGGGGCAAAATGCCCTGTGAGAACCTGTAGTGTGTTGATAAGGCTTCAACAGAGGATGTGAAAAACTCAGTGCATGAGAAGGGGTTCGTGTTTCACAGCAGCCAAAGTAGTAATGAGGCACTCTGTAACTACATGAGGCCACTAATCATTGTACATGGAACCAAACTGGAGGGGTTTAAACGTTAATTGAGGAGCCTGAGATTGTCAAAACCATTCACCCGTTCTCCCCTTCCTCCCCTGGGCGGGGCAGGGCAGATCCAAATTATAGTACGAGGTGATCAGGATAAGAGGCATATGTATCTTTACCCGCTCAAAATGCATTTTTATAATATTTTTTTAATGTGTTACTTTTTCTCTAGGATCTTCGGGATAATCAAGTGAAAGCTTCCACCAGTCTTTAATATTAGGCTGTTTTCTTCCTGTAGTCTAAAATAGATTCCAGCTAGAACTTACTGTACGAGACTATCTTGGTAGCAATGCAGAGTGTCTGGGTTGGAACAGAAAAATATCTCGGGTGTGCTCAAAGAGGAAGCATTCCTCAACGTCAGAAGAGTTTGAAAGATTTGAAGGAGCAGTTAAGACAAAACTGTAGCCTTTTTCTGTATAGTGCATGTGAGCCCTGTGTATCCTTCCAAGGAGTTCTAATTCCCTCCGTCAAACTTTCACATTAATGCTGCAATACAAGTGGGGAGGGAGTGTTTTGGGGAGGGCAAAAAGAAAAAAACAAGGGGATAAAAGGAGGTGAGATGCAGCTAAAGAAGCTCAGGGGGATTGAGCAAAAGCCCATGAGAGTTACTGGAAAAGAGAGGTTTTACGTTCCTGCTTCATGATACCCTGAAGACACTTTTCAAGAAATTGAGAGCTAGAGATGCACCTGGTTTTGGCTTCTGTCATTGCAAACATGAAGCAAAGTGGATTTTGCCCATCAGATGAGCATGAGCATTTATCTTTCAGGCTCTCTCAGCCCAACATATATGACACGTGTAAAACAAACAGTATTCTTATATTGAGTGTTTGGGTTTTCATCTGTCCCAGGTTTCGACCTCATCAAGATGCAGACCCTGAAAAGCCCCGAGTTGCTGCCCTGATTGACAGATTAATCTCTTTCAAAAACAATGATCATGGAGCCTGGGTCAGGGGAGGGGATATCCTCATTCAAAACTCTGGGTAGGTATCCGGAAGCAAACAGCTGCATGTTGTTTAGAAGTTTCCCCTGAGGCTTTGTTTATGAAAGTGCTTTACAACAGAGTTATATGACAAGATTGATGCTTAACTTGAGGAACTTCTCAATATCTTGAACCGCTTTCACACCATCCCACTACTTTAAATGAAACAAGTTCATATATGATTAGACGAGAACCCGCCTTAAATGGCAAAAAAAACCTATGTAATAAAAAGGAAGTCTAAAAGTTGGTAGAGACAGTAAATTTATACTGCGATATCTATGGTTTCCCTGAAGCTCTCATGTTTCTGCTTAAAATATATAGACAATTACTTGATTTTTTTTTTTAACAGCAACATTTTTATAAGAATTATTAAGTGGTGGTTCTAAATTCCATTAATAGAAAAATTCAGGCTTTCTTCAGTGCATAGCAGAATGTGTTCTTATGGTAGCTTATTGTAGGATAATCTAGAAAACATGACTGAAGCTTTGAACTTTCTTTTAGGTTTGCAGACAATGGAATAGGTTTGACATTTGCTAGGTGAGTACTTTGTTATTCACTTCTGTTTTTTCTTGCCTAGAAGCTTAGAAAATATACATCCATCTATTAAAATTAATAGGTATACTTTCATAAGGCTATAGTTGCATTTTTGGGCCCAGTTCTATTTCCAGTGGTGTGGATGATGATATAAAGGCTGTAAACTGACACAGCTGCTAAAGCTTGCACTATAATTCAACCCCTGCTTGGTTTACACCACAATTTGCTGCCTCTTCACCAGAAGGGTTATGTTTATGCAGGTATTTTTGGTATTGTATGATTCCTTAGGCAGTTTTGATTTTCCTCCTGAACAGTTGAAAGTAAGTAATGGAAAAGAAAGGGGATGAGCATTTAGAGAGGGCGGAGTCTCTTTCTAATAAAAAAAGAATCAAGTAACTTTAGTAAGCCAAAATTGCTGCTATTTAGGTTATGACAAACTGGTTCTAGGATTGCCAAAGTGGGCTATAAAAGAAAGAGTGCTGCACTACAAAGGGAGGTAGAAAATTTAATGCTCAGCTGTCTGCTGATGTTTCAGTTAGCCTGTAATACTGTTAATGATTGAATTTATTCTATATATTGTAAATGAAGTCTAGACTCCTCTGCTTTAGGAGGACTGTTACAGAAGTAAAAGTAGGACTATGCCCCAGTGTGTTCATCTGCTGGAGAGTCTTGGCTAAAAGCTTATCTCTGACATTGCTTTGATAGTGATGGGAGCTTCCCAAATGATGAAGGTGCCAGCCAGGAGGTATCTGAGTCGCTGTTCATAGGTGAGAGCAAGAATTATGGGTTTCCAGGCGGCCAAAATAAGTATGCAGGAACTGGAGGAATAGACAACAAGGCACGCACTCTGCCTAGAAATCGGTAAGTATGTTATGAGTGAAGGAAGTAGAAATGATACAAGAAACGTTCTCTGTATCAGATGTAAACACCCTTCTTGCTTGAGCTGTGAGAGATTAGGACTCTATTGAAGGTGATGCACTCTTTTTCTTTTTAACACTTTGTGTGCACTGTGTCACTCTCGCATTTTTGCTGAGTCAGTTTTCATCTGATGCTACCACAGGTTGCTTTTCCATAGTGATTTAAGTTATCCAACTTTAATGAAACCTTAGTCTTAAACAACATTTTATTTCACTCTTCCAGGCCCAAAAGGTTTCAGGTTAAAAGATTTCAAGGGTCATTTTAGGACTAGAGACTACAGTCTGTCTGTGACAAATCCCAATCTGTGACCACGATCCTTTTCTTTTCTCTCTGGCTTGCTATGATACTTGTTTAACGTAGTGCCAAGTCCTACCCTTGCCACAGAATAGGAAAGAAGGGTGAGGTAGGTCTAGGCCGCCCTGTTTTTTTGCTGCTTAGCCATTTAGAGGGAAGAAGTTAATATGGTGGTGATATAAGAGGTATTCAATCTAATTGAGCAGAATCACAGAACAGTTGAGATTGGAAGGGACCTCTGGAGGTCAACTTGTCAAACTTCCCTGCTCAAGCAGGGCCACCTAGAGCTGGTTGCCCAGGACCACGTTCAGGTGGCTTTAGAATATCTCCAAGGATGGAGACTCCACAACCTCCCTGGGTAACCTGTGCCAGTGCTCAGCCACCCTCACAGTGGAAGAAGTTTCTCCTTTATGTTCAGGAGTAACCTTCCGTTTTTGCCTCTGGTCCTGTCACTGGGCACCACTGGGAAGAGCCTGGCTCAGTCGTCTTTGCACCCTCCCTTCAGAGATTCTTATCAACGTATAAGATTCCCGCCTTAGCCTTCTCTGCTCCAGGCTGAACAGTCTGAGGTCTCCCAATGTTTCCTCCTATGGGAGGTGCTTCAGTCACTTAATCATCTTTGTGGCCCTTCATTGGACTTTCTCCAGTAGCTCCATGTCTGTCTTGCACTGGGGACAAGCACTCTAGGTATGGTTTCACCAGTGCCGAATAGATGGGAAGGATCACCTCCCTCAATCTGTTGGCAACACTTCTCCCAGTGCAGCCCAGGATACCATTTGCCTCTTTGTGGCAAGAGCACATTGTTGGCTTATGGCCAACTTGGTTTCCACTGGGACCCATAGGTCCTTTTCACTGGTGCATTGGGTTGTTCCTCCCTAGGTTCAGGACTTCGCACTTCCCCATGTTGAACTTCATGAGGTTTCCATCTGCCTATTTCTCCAGCCTGTCAAGGTCTATCTGGATGGCAGCATGACACTGGTGGATCAGCTACTCCTCACAGTTTTGTGCCCTCTGCAAACTTGCTGAGGCTAAACTCAGCCCCACCATCCAGATCACTAATGAAAATGTTGAACAAGATTGGATGTAGTATTGACCCCTGGGGTTCATCACTAGTTACTGGCCTCCAGGTAGACTTCATGCCACCACCCTCTCGGCCCAAACATTCAGCTGGTTTTCAGTCCACCTCACTGTCCTCTGATCCAGCCCATACTTCATGAGGATCTTAGGGGACACAGTGTCAAAAGCCTTACTGAAGTGTTTAGGTAGACCATGTGCACTGCTCTCCCCTCAGCTACCAGGCCAGTCATTTCATCACAGAACTTTATCAAGTCAGTCAAGCATGACTGCTCCTTGATGAATCCATCCCGATTACTCCTGATGACTTTCTTGTCCTTCATGTGCCTTGAAACAGTTTCCAGGATTAGCTGCTCCATCACCTTCCCAGGGATCAAGCTGAGGCTTACCAGCCTGCAGTTCCCTGGGTGTTCCTTTGTGAAGTTAGAAATGACACTTTTTTTCCTCCAGTCTATGGGCACTTCTCCCAGTTGCCATGATCAATCAAAGAGCAGGTGGTATTATCTTCCTGCTGTATTTCCCGTATTGGGAAAAGGGCACATTTGCAAATGGACAGTGATAGCTTTTCTAATAGGAAAATTCAAAAGAGCAGGGGATTCTTTGACTCATTAGGTAAGTGCAGAAACAAGATGTCCTTTACTAAGATCTAACCTGCAAGTCATTCTCTTAATGTTGCTTTCTTGATTCCTCTGAGAGGAAATGTATTTATGACACAGATTCAGGCTTATCAGGGGTTTTGTTACAGGATGCTATAAATATTTGCTTGCATTAACAGGACATTTCCAATCAGAGGCTTTCAAATTTATGATGGACCTATTCACCTTACCAAGTGCACATTCAAAAATTTTGTGCCAACTCCAGACAGATTTACCAGTGCAGTTGGATTCTTGATGAAAAATCCATGGCAGATGACACCAAAAAACAACATTTCTCTTGTGAAGTTTGGTCCGAATGTAAGTTCATTACAAGTTTTCTTTTATTCTTGCAAATGGCTTTCTTTTCTTCTTGCTGTATTTAAAATAAACATCCAAGAGCCCTAGGTAATCTTTTCCATACATCCCTACTCCAGAGTTTCTTTCTTGGTTGGAAGTCACCCAAAATGTATCCTCTATCTCCCGAGCAAAAAATAATACTAAGGGAGATGTAGGATATGTTGCAATGATGATCTCTCTCATGGCTAATGGTAAAGCTGAAAGGAGATTTTTGTAAGGTTTGGTATATCCTTGGTGATGAATTTTCAGTTGCAAATATTAACACTGTTCAGAACCAAGAGCTGGCTTGAGCCTATTACTAAAAATCAAAATGTCTGTTTTGCAAGATTCCACTGTCCTTGCCATAAGGTTTTTAATCAACTTTGTCGAATTCCTGTGTTTCTGCTGGTGTTCAAGTGTTAGTCTGTGCTTTGCCTGTGGAAAAAAATAAATATTTTAATTGTTGTTGCCAGGTTTCTTTGAAAGCCTTCTTTGGAAAACCTGGTCCCTGGTTTGAAGAAGGAGATCTGGATGGTGACAAGAACTCAATATTCCATGATCTAGATGGTTCAGTGACTGACTACATGGATACCTATGTGGGCAGAATGGATAACTACTTGATTCAACACCCCAAATGCATTAATATTACAGAATGGAGTGGAGTGGTTTGCAGTGGGACCTATGCACAGGCTAGTACTCTTGTAGCTTTCTGTTTGGGGCAAATCTACAATATAAACAACTTGTGGGGGCAGGGGGAGTACAGGAACTACAAAATTACCTGTCATTGGATTTAAAAATTTTTTGAAGTTTTAAAAATACTTTTATGCATATTACACTTTTCAGCCAGTTGTGTATATTGTGTTCCCTTCAACATGCAAACTGGGAGTACATTATTAGATGCTGCAAGGTAAAAGCAAATGTGTGTGCATGCCAGGAGTTCTATGTTGCAGCCCTATCTGCTAAAACATTTTTGTATTGGAGGTGTTTTCTTCCACTGGAGTTCATAGAATCATAGAATCGTTAAGGTTGGAAAAGACCTCTAAGATCATCAAGTCCAACCGTCGACCCAACACCACCATGCCCACTAAACCATGTCCCTAAGTGCCACATCTACACGTCTTTTAAATACATCCAGGGATGGTGACTCAACCACTTCCCTGGGCA